CTCAATTCTAAACATGCTTCTGATAATCTACTGGTGTGAAGTACTGATACATCAGTTTCAAGAAGATCAGCTTCTTGAAGAACACGTGAGCAAATTCTTCTCTGATATGATACGATTACTTCGAATACTAATTTGTCTATAACACAGAATGTTTGTTTGATTGCCAAATCGTATCGAATTAAATTTGTGAGAAGTAACGATAAGAATATGTGAAAATATGTCGATTTGATCGAACGTGCGATAACTCGCTCAACGCTGCTGAATAATCACCAAATATAATCAATCGCTCACCGAATGCAGAATTCGCATTTTGCTCCAACTGGAAGACACTGTGGAAGAAAGAGCGAGAATGAGAACGTGTCAATATTTTGAGCAATCGATCCACTGATGTATAACGCTTGAACGTCAATGAAACTTCGCCAGCTGTCCAGTGTATAGCGGATATGCACCTGAAATATGCAATATATCCTGTTAGACCACTTCCAGCTGAAATACTTCAGAGGGTCATTTACAAGGTCTGAAAGCATCGGAATTAATAAGTGAAGCACGAGTGGATGATCCAAATTCACCAAAAGTAATTTCGCTTAAAGCAGAGCACTCGAAGTGGCCATATCGTTTGGGATCAATCAAATGCAATCATATAGCGATCAGTATTGATCAAACGTGCGAAATATGATTACTGTGAACCTAGGATCATAAAATCATCATCAATTTTACCACTTCAAATCCTCATATTAAATAATTTAACGTGGATTAATAACAAGGCCGTAGTATTATCAGTGATGACAATAGCAAAATAATCTTAAAAGAAAAAAATGCGGATTTAGAACTGAATAACAGACCTGTTTTTTGTACGCGTAGTTAACGACCGCAACAATGCCAGTGAGGTTGGTGCCGATCGTGTTCACTGACTTAAGGCAAACGCCTTGCTTGAGTGTTTTGGCGATCAAACGTTCATTCGGGTCAAAGTTGTTCTGCCAGGCATAGCCACCTACAGGTGTGAAATGCGTGTGCAGGTAAGTGGGCACTGTGGTGAACGTTGGCACGCCAATTGTACCGATTTTACGTGGTGGTGCTGGTGCCAATGGGGTCACGTAAGAGGCTTGATGAAATCTGAAATTTCATCCAGTGAAACAGTTATAACTACGAATCTCTTTCAACTTCATGAACTCAAAGGACCGCAGACGCCTCTGAACACCTTTCACTAGCTTTATTTGAGGTCATTCGGTTTTTCGGGCGATGATTTCGTTAAAATGGTAGTGAACATTGTTAGGATAGGTTATTTGAAAAGAAAACTTCAGTGGACGAAGTAAATTGGTGTTACGTGAACGAACGAACCCTTTGAAATAAAGTGGTGGTGTCGTGCCGAATATTTCGTCGTCTGGATCACCGAAAGAGACGAATGGGCGAACGTGGCAAAGATCTAGACCCAGTGAGTCAGCGAAATGAACAGCTTTCTTGTCACCATGAGAATTCGATTTCTT